TACAACAGTATGTCCATCCACATAACATTTCTGTCAAAGGAATCAAGTTCAAACTCACCTTTCATACCTACAATCTTGCCATGCAGCTCATGGCTCAACTTGAAAGCGGGAAAAAAGTAGATGAAACATTGACAATGGATTCACTAATAGAAGCCATGGCGCCTGTGACCGCTGTATCGAGTAATCATCTTCATGAACTTCTTAAACACCTTGACAACTTTCACCGATTCRTTCCCAACAAAAAACTGATTGTTTACGATCTWGGGCTCACTCRGWACGATGTCYWWACTTTAARGRGGATAGATTACGTCGAGTACAGAAATTTTGATTTCTCTGTATATCCTAAACATGTTAGAAACTTAAACTCGTACGCATGGAAACCGCTTATTATCCAGCAAATACTGGCAGAGCAAGGAGGAGCATTGTGGATGGATTCTAGCGTGAAAATCAAAAAGCCATACAATAAAGTACTTGAACGAATGGTGAACAGCAGCTCTGGATTTCTTTTTTACTTGCATCCCGTTGGCCATAGCATATTATCTGCTACCCATTCAAAGATGTTTGAATATTTGCCAATGAACAACTTGAACGATATGAAGTTGAATCAGTTCCAAGCAACAGGATTTATAGTTTTTAACACCCCGCAAATCCGTAAGCTAATTTTTAAATGGGCGATACTGTGTAGCCTTGTTGAAGATTGCATCATACCCAAAGGATCCACAAAGTCTTGTGGTCCTAAATTTCCAAAAGAACCAGCTAGCGGTTGTCACCGGTATGATCAGTCAATGTTTTCTATTCTGACAAGGAATGAATTCGGCCCCGAAACTAAGAGATATGTAATACCTGAGAAGTTAGAGTATGCAGATGTCAACAGGCTGGGTCTTACTTTCTATCGAAAAGTGGCTATTTTTTTCCAATCATTGTTCTGAGCTAGATAAAACTATTCCTACACTTCAGACTGCACGGGTACAGGTCACAGCAGGCCTTTAGTCTGTACAAAGCATAAAATGAAAAGCCCCATGGAGCAAGACAACACTTTTTTAAAGTGGCTTTGTACAAAATCCTTACCAGGGGTGTCAAAACAATTGAACATAGAAGATAGCATCATAAAAGATTTAAATCCTGACCCTCAGATTCAGCTACTTTGTTTACACATATACAGCCAACGTCATTAACGTTGTCCACCGAAAAAAAACATTTACACATTTAGACTAAAAGAAATATCACGTGTTTCAATGTCTAAATGTCTAAATGTCTAAATGTCTAAATGTCTAAATGTCTAAATGTCTAAATGTCTAAATGTCTAAATGTCTAAATGTCTAAATGTCTAAATGTCTAAATGTCTTTTTCGGTGGACAACGTTAATGTTGACTGTATGTTTGTGTATAGATTTTGGGTTTCTAATCATATTCTTCTCAGCTCTTCTTCATGCATCGAGTACTTCACGACTGACGGTAATTATTCAGTGGATACGCGAAGCGTAGAAAAGAGATATTAGACCTTTTGCATCGTTTCTATGGATCGGGCCCAGAAAAACGCCTGCAAACACGCCTGCAAACACGCCTGCAAACACAGAGAAACACTCAGGGTAATTCCATATAACGGCTCTTCCATCAATAGACCTTTTTCTCAAGGTTGGCGCTCATCCAAATTTGAGAAATTTGACGGAGTTACGATACCAGAACACTATGAGCTTTATAATGAGAATTATCATACATTTCTACGAGATATTTCAATAAGAATTCATAAAATCGATTATTCTTCTCTTTAAAATATAAAATTAGCTTTTCAATTTTACTCGGAATAACTGGATCAGCCTCAAAAACACGCGCGCAAATACACACAAACACAACCTTGTGGTTTTGTCTGTGCTTAGACGACGGGGTCACTTAGAATTTTATACGTAAACAAAATCCTTAATAACTTTTTTCTCCCTCGCGTATTGCTGCCAATCTTAGCCAACACACTGATCAACATCATCGAGAAGAAACCGGGTCAAAGTTTTTCAAGAGATCTAATTTCTATATGTTCTTCAAGTTCAAGCCTCTTAAAAATTGAATTCCGGCAACTTTTTTTTCATTTATGGGCATTAATGCTTATCGAAACCAATGAAAGGAAAAACGACAAACCTTTAAAATGGATGCCAAGGGGTCACCCCAGGCTTCATTCAATATACAAATTTTGACTGGTTGACACAAAAAGTATTTGAAAAGCATTATCATCATACTTAGGTTTCCTCTAAAATGTTTATCGTAAATTTGATGTCTCATAATGTGTTTAGTATTTATTTTTTTTTATAATACACAAGAAGACTTGGTTACGTCACAGTCAGTAACATATTCAAAGTATAATACTTCATAACTAGTAAAAACGCAACATTCAAATGAAGAAATAATTTACCATTCAACTATTCACTTTATGTAAAATCAATATTGAAAGTATTGTATCGGGGGTTAGGCGCAGTTCGTTCTCATTTTAAAAAAATTAAACATATTTTATGCTTCTTATGGTCGTTTATAGTATTCTTCTTTATTTTAGGAGCCTAAATTTTACTCTATTTTATCTTATGCAAATTGCATCGATATTTCCGTGATTGTTCTGATATAAATTATCCCAAGGTAAAGGTATGTTCTAGTGTGAGCATGCTCAGTGCTAGCATGCCCTGGTGCTAGACATCCTCGTCGAAAAATGGAATTCCAGCTTCTTATATAAATAGCTAGTCAAACCCTTTTTTGGATAAAAAGTTCTTGTGTGTTTGATTAATATAAAGTCCGAAAGAAAGGTTCGTGTAAAGTTCGTAATCGGATGATGTAAGACGATTGATGAACGTTTAATTATCGATCTGCTAACATCTTAGTGAGTGAGTGAGTGAGTGAGTGAGTGAGACATTTGCATATTCAGACCCCTTACAATAACTCATTTTAATTAGATTAGAAAAACCGCTGGGTTTTTCAGCCCGATTCCACGCTCGGGGGAAAGCATCACACATGCCCAGTCAAAGAATTCTATTAAGTCGCCGCAGGCCAGAGCAAACGCAGGTTCAGGGTACGAGAATGTTAGGTTATAAACGCATTTCGGAGCCCTATAAAGTCATCATTAACTATGAAAAGGCTATCGAGGATTAGGATGAAAGTCTTTGGCTTTGGCATGGCCATTATTGTGTTATTTAACTTCGTGCTTTACTACATAGATTTTCCAGCAGTTCTAGAAAAGCCAGAAATGACGGAGATGGGTATACAACAGTATGTCCATCCACATAACATTTCTGTCAAAGGAATCAAGTTCAAACTCACCTTTCATACCTACAATCTTGCCATGCAGCTCATGGCT